AGAGTCAGATTCTGTGTTACTTTAGAAATGAAAACACAAAATCAAGAACATTGTTAAAGAACAATTCGTGATCTGGTGAACTTTAAATGAACAATTTAAATAATGCAGAAAATAAAATAGAAATTCATTGTTCTCAGCAAAAATCTAGAAATCCGCTTTCACAAGTATCTATTCTGATCTTCCTTCATAGAGTCAAGTACAGATAAATATTTTTCAGCACACAATAATACTAATCTTCTTAGATTGTTTTTCTATTTTATTTGTGTTGCAAATATTTTCTTCATTTTTCACTCACTTGTTTAGTTGCCGTGGCGCCTGAAAAATCTACGCGTTCGATAGGCATCACACTCTTACAGGTTTCTAGTCTCGCTAGAATACTTCAAACGCTTTCTATTACATAAAAACGAAAAAAATCACTTGTCAACTGGCTTTCATTCATCGAAATAAAAGTCAGAATTGAAAAGAGCCTAGCTCTAACAAATATTCTACAAAGTTCTTTTTTATGCATAATTAGAACAATTCCAGAATTGTTGCAAATTTTTGTACGTTGTTCAGAATTTCTTTTTTAAATTTTTTCGGACGAAATAAAATCATCGGGCGTTTAGTTTCAGATTCTCTCTTAAGTACAGTTTTCAAACAGGGATACTTTCACTGTTTTTTCAATGAATCATAATACGATAAAACAGTTTGTATTTATAACATAAATAAACGAATCAAATTTTGGTTCTCGAGCCTCTATAATGGCGTCCATGTTATCCCTTAATTCGTTAGAATCCCTTAAACGGTGCCGACAAATATTGTTTTAAACGCATTTTTTTAAAGCATCTATACATTTGTAAATAAAGATGCTGAATCATTGAAGAAAAGAAAAAAATGGCGTCTCATCATAACTATTCTTTTATAAGATTATTCTATAGAATAAGAAAAAAAACAATAACCTATCGATTGAAATCGTATAAATGAATATTTTCATATTTTATTTATATTAAATAAAGTATAATTATTTAAAATGGGTTGCGCAACAAGTCAAGACGAAAAACGACAAAAAGAAGTAAGTAATTTAATCGATTATATTCGAAAATTTTGTTTATTATTTGATTGTTGTTTGATTTCAGAAATTATTTAATAGTAAGATTTATATTAAACAAAAAAAAAATAATAACGCCTTTATTTGATTAACAAAACACATTTCTAAAAAAAAAACAAATAATTTCTAAAATGCTTTTCTAATCATTTGTTTTCTTTTAATAATAATTAAAAATATGATTTAATAAGAATTTATTCGTTTATAGTATAGCAAAGCACTTGATCGTTTGATAAAAGAAGATGCTGAACGTGCAGCTAAAGATGTTAAACTTTTATTACTCGGTATGTCAAATAGTATTAAAATAAAAAAACATATTGTCAAAATATTTTTACTCTTATATAAATATAGGTGCTGGTGAATCGGGTAAATCAACAATTGTTAAACAAATGCGTATTATTCATCAGCATGGTTATACTAAAGAAGAATTTGAACAATATCGTCCAGTTGTTTATTCAAATACAATTCAATCATTAGGAGCTATTATACGAGCTATGAATATGCTTAATATACAATTTGCATCCGTTGAACGTGAAGCTGATGCTCAACGTGTACTTGAAGTTATACAACGTATGAAAGATACAGAACCATTCAATAGTGAATTACTATCATCAATGGAACGTTTATGGGCTGATGCTGGTGTTCAACAATGTTTTTTACGTAGTAATGAATATCAATTAAATGATTCGGCACAATATTTTCTTGATCAATTATATCGAATTGGTTCACCAGATTTTTTACCTAATGAACAAGATATATTACGAACACGTGTTAAAACAACTGGAATTGTTGAAATTAATTTTTCTTTTAAAAATTTAAATTTTCGATTATTTGATGTTGGTGGACAAAGATCAGAAAGAAAAAAATGGTTTGTTTTTAGTTTATTTTATTCATAGATGGATCTAAAGGTTTATCGATTGTTTTTGTATAATATAGGATTCATTGTTTCGAAGATGTGACCGCTATTATTTTTTGTGTGGCACTTTCTGAATATGATCAAGTACTTTATGAAGATGAATCAACTAATCGTATGCATGAATCGTTACGTTTATTCGATAGTATTTGTAATAATAAATGGTTTGTTTCTCGTTTTTTTCTTAAATCATTTATATTAGCAAAAAAAAAACAAAAATAACATAACTCTCAATTTTCTATTTTTAGGTTTGTTTATACGGGTATAATATTATTCTTAAATAAAAAGGATTTATTTGAAGAAAAAATCAAACGTTCACCATTAACACTCTGTTTTCGTGAATATACAGGACCAAATGAATATGATCCAGCTGCTGAGTATATTCAAGCACAATTTGTTGCTAAAAATAAATCAACACAAAAAGAAGTTTATTGCCATCATACATGTGCAACAGATACACAAAATGTGCAGTTTGTGTTTGATGCCGTTACTGATGTAAATATCTTTTTTCTATTTATATTATAAAAATAAATCTTAATTGATATCCGATTTGTTTTCATAGGTTATAATTACATTAAATCTTCGTGGTTGTGGGTTATATTAACATTATGCTCAAAAAAAACAAAAAAAAAGAAAAACATCAAACGATCGGAACGTTTTCTTTATATTTTTCTTCTCTATTAGCCTTTGTTTCTTTGGAAAAAAAGACTTCAGTGACTCTTCTTTTTCTTATGACTTTTCTAGTCAGGTTAGATGTATACACAGTGAAAAAAAAAACAAGAAATAACAAATTTTATGATTAGCACAAAAAAAGAAATTACTCAATAATAATAATAATAATACTCTATTCCATATATCTTTCTCTTATATCTTTTTTTCTCTTTTGTTTGTATATGTTGTCAGATGTGTGCATGTGACAGTTTGTTTTTCTTCTTCTCCTTTTGTTTGTCTTACTAGTCAATCTATTTTGCTTTATTACTAATATTAAACATATACAACACGAAAAGTTATCAAATTCAGTTTTTTTTTCTTTTTGTTTGCTTTTTGTATATTAAATTAGAAAAGATCTGTATATGTCTTTATATATTTCAACGAAAAAGAGTATTTCACAAACAAAAAACACATATATATATGCATGTGTAATTACTTCGTATTAAAATACAAACGATTTTTGTTTACTATTATATTATTTGATGCTGACTAGTCTTTATTTACTATAATTATGTATGCGTCGTGTGTTTCTTCTTTGCTCACAATCGTTTTTTTTTCTTTTGACACAAATAAATCAATTTCGAATACAAGATTACTTTTTGTTTTATTTTATTTTTCTACTTTTTTGATTTAAGCTTTTAGAATACATAGTACATGATGATGTTTAACAATAGTTGGTTAATTTAAAATATTTTATTATTATATCTGATTTATAGTTAAGAACTTGTACATATAGAAGTTCAACACGAACTTGAGCATAGAGAGTAACATCCAATAAATAACTATGAAATCTATAAATAAGAATAATAATTCAGATATTAATTAGTCATTGTCAAATTTCAACTGTTTTCTTACGAGTCAATGCTGCAGTTTTCTATGTCTATATATTTAATAATAATGAATGATTAAATACTTTAACACATGACTATAACACAAGATTCACTGTTTGTCTAATTATTAAATTATTATTTATGATTTTTGATAACTAATATAAACTGGCAAAATCATGCAATTGGAATTATTAGTGAAGTTATCTTAATTAAAATAGAAGATAGATTGAAGAGAAAATAAGATCTAGATAGACATTACATGTAGTTTTATTCTATTGATTCTTGTTATATGTTTGCATGCAGAATAAATACACTTTGATGATTATTTTTCCTAAGTAATACATAGTGTTGTCTAACAACAATAAGGATGAAGAAAAAAATGCATTGATAATTTAAGTTATATTTGAAATATTAATAATCAGTGAGTTATTTTCTTTAAAATTTATAATTCTATAGTTACAGATTAATATTGATAATAGTATAAACTTGAAAGTTCTAGATTTCCCAATAGATCAATGTTCTATGTATAGTATGCATGAATATTTCATATGTATGAGAAAAGATGTCTTCAATTAAAAAATAAAACATTACATAATGTTCTTTTGGGAATTAACAACAAAACAAAAATACAATAATGATGAAATATTCAAGTATTAACTAACTAAATCATTACATTTACGTCTTAGAAAATAAAAATAGTTCGACATTATTCTACCAGTTAATGTTATCTGCTGGTGTGTGTTAAAGAAAAATTCTGCAAGATTATTTCTTCGAGAATTTCACTTATACCATAATGAGCTATGAGTAAGCTGAACCTTTCTTTTATATGAAATAATGGAATTTAAAGAATAAATTTTGTCTAAGATTTTTTGAAATAATGCACTACTTAGACAAAATAGAAATCAAAAACAAAGCTTTTGTTTTATTTATAATGAGCTTTAAAGGATTACCTCCAAGGTTACACAAAAGCATTACTTATTTCAAGAACAGATTAATCAAATACAAATATATTTACTTCGTTCTTTATTTCATCGCCAAAGTATTATTTTACCCTTAATGCAATTCAATTATGCATATCCTGCCCAATTTGATTATAAGCTCGAAAGTGAACATATGTAAACACATTGAAGCATTTTATCAAATCTTGCGATAAATCTTTATTAA